AATTAGCACTCACTTCAACATATGAAAATTTAATTATGAGCTTAAAAAATATGCTATGTGAATGAGATATTGAGCAACCTAGTTGCTTAAACTTGACCAACTAAATTTTGAAGGTAATATTATAATTAATCGCGAGACGACCAAGTAAGTCTTGCAATACTCTTGAGGTAACATAAGTCAGTTATTCCAGCCTTCCAACTTGACCCCTTTGTTTCTTTGGACTATAAATAGGAAGGTAAGAAAATCAATTACTTTGAAATTTTCAAAGCATTTAACAGTGTTTGTTGTAATATTTCACGACAAGAAGCACGATCGAGTGGATATTTGATTGAAAATTTCATAGATTACAAATCCAACTAATTATATTGTGGCTGAATTATATTGCATTCAACAAATCAAAAGGTAAATAAGTCAATTGCTTGGGATGTTCCTAGATGGTTTCGCTAGGTTTGTGTTGTCATATTTTGGTACAAGAGTTTGGTCAAGTGGAAATTTCGATTAATGGATTTATTTAAATCCTTTTATTTGCAGGTTGAATTGAACACATTATTAGTTTACTATAATTGAGTCCTACACGGAACTTCTTAAAATGACAACACTAGGTAATTAATAATTGTAGGAATATATAAATCGTATATTTTATGAATTCATTTGTGCCAAACACGCTTAAGCAACAAATAAAGGACTTTTCTTTTTTCATGTAAATATAAGACTAGTTCGTGCATATCGTGGGGTTGATTTACCAATAAATTTGTTTTTGGTAATGTCTAATCATACGTCTGACTTGTATACACACGCATGCGCTTGAACAATGCATACACGGTCATACGCAAATTATAACTTGAGTAAACTCTTTTTCTTTTTTTCTTTTTTTGAGTGATTAATCCTATTAGTCCCTAAATTATATGCATTGTGTCATTTTGGTTCCTAAACTTTAATTTTGGTAAATTGGTCTTTGAATTACTTATAAGTTTTGATTACTTTAGCCTTTGCACGCTAAAATAATTGGTAAATAACTTCTGAAACTTTTCAAAGATAATCACGTTTCATACGCACAGTAACTTTTACAGAAATAGTAAAATCAAATGCAAAATGAATAAGTTTTCGATAGTTTGTAATAATACTAAAGAGTATATTTAGCATTTCCTATAAATATGCTAGCATAAACATAGCACTACATTCACTTTAATGACACGAATAATGAGTTAAACAAATGATGAAAGATTTAAAAAATTATCCCTTGTTAATAATTAGTCATCCATCAATATATATCTTGATTGAATGATAGCAAACCATGCTTCCATTTCTTTGACCTTGAAATATGCATCTTGGAGAGCCAACAACTATTCACGCCCAAAAAAAACCAACATAGGGCAAGTATCTACATATTCTTCTGTTGCAGATAGTTTTTCCATTTTAGGCCCCGTTCTTTTCGTTGATTCGAGTTTAGAATTCGAGTTTTGCTACAGTAAAAAGCTCTCAGAAACAGTAACATCTAACTTTTTTGCTACAGTAAAAAGCTCTCACACAACATCACATCTCAATTCGAATTAGCGAACTGAATGGGCCCTTAGAAAGAAAACTACAATAATTCACAATACAGTTTAATTCATAAAGGACTTGTGTAATTAGTTTGCCTCTCTCTTATGAGATAATAATGAAATTTCATATGGCAGATATGCATAATAAGTGGAACGCAAGCTAGGGCATATAGTGCAACGTTCAAAATGAAAATGAACAGTTAAATAATTGTATTTCCAATGACAAAATCTATTATATACTTACAATATGGTCACAACCAGTTTAAAGGTTAATTTGAGTCGAAGAGAGGGACCTCATTGCTATAGTCGTCTAATCACGTTGTGCCGTGAGTAAAGTTACACGGGTTTGGAGGCCAACTTTTGTCTTATAATTGCAAGAGGTTTATCATTTTTTCCAAGGAACCTTAATAACGAATAATCGATCTTCATATAAAATTTAATTAGCTAGGTCAAACTTTCCCTCTAAAAAATAATATAGGGATGGGGTGATCTACTCAGATAATTTCATAAAGACAAGAGATTTCTCGAAGTACATCTGTTGGACTAATTTTTAGTAGTTACGTTTTCATCGGTGGGTAATCATTAAATACAAAATTTTGGTGACATGACGTAATAAAAATTCAATCTCATAATTAGTTGTCATATATTTTTTTGTCAACTACCTAATTTATTATAATCATCTGATCAATATCGCATGTTTAAAACAATAATATCTACCAATGCATAAATATCTGAGTAACTATTAAAACTAATACCCATATTTGTCATATAATTAACTCTTGTGAGAAAACTGCATAATTTACATTTAAAAGTGCATGGGTCTGGATTTTTATCCCTCATTATTGATTAATACCCTTTTATTAGTATAGTTATTCGACTAAAAATGTTATTAATCAAGAGTAAGGGGTCGAAATCCTAACTCATACACTTTTAAGGGGTATTTGTCTCTTTTTCCCTTTATTTGTACATTTCATGATATGACTTATTTGAAACCCAAAATAATAATAATAACAATAATAATAATAATAATAATAATAATAATAATAATAATCTAGCTATCTAGATGTCAAGTTTCTTATTCTCCCTTGGTGAACAAATTATCCTCATGAGTCTCTACATGAACCAAAAAATTCCCTAATTGGACAAATATTGATCCATCGGTTATCATATAGGGTATGTTATTTAACAAGAGTCCAATATGCAAGAGTTAGAAAATTCTTTTCTTTATACAATTGCTGGTTAGATGGCAGACAAGATATAGCTAATGATGGCTTTAACCTTTGTCGACTTCTCTCCGGTTCAGGAAGTCACTCTCTAGCCATTAATGAAGGGCCAGCTTTTGTTAATTTCGATTAAATACTTTTTTTTTAATTAATCTTCAGTGATTTTTAGTGTGAACAATATCCAATAATATATTTGAGAAACTCGTCACATAAATGAATTCTCAAATGATTGATTGATGAATGGGTAAATTATCTCGCCTTTTTTATTGGAGGGAACTTTAGCTTCCACCAATGAGAGCGAGAAAAGATTAGTGAAGGAAACGGCCGTATCTAGGCCTCTATCATCATGAGATTATCATTAATCACTTTTATTAATTGGGCTATGATTATGCTATACAGTTCAAACAATTGTAGTGCTGGCTTATAGATAGACCGATAGAGACAAGAAGTACATAATTAGTTATAAATTGTTGCTTTTTGTGTATAAATATAGCTCCTACAAGCATTGATTAAGCTACATTTTAACTAAAACTTTTAACCTGCAGCTTTTAATTATAAATGTTTGAATTATCAGATGCTCTTTCTTATTTTTTATTTTTTATTTTTTCCTTACTTTTTGTACATCTCTCTTTATTGTATGGTAGAAAATAAATTGGGATTCTCCCTATTTAAACAGCTGTTTTTTGAGCCCATTAATTTCCCTCTGACAAAGAGAAAGTCGGATTTTGGTAACCACACGCAATCTCTCTTTCTGATCACCTTGATTGATGAAAAAACCATATAGTTGCATTACCCGGCCATTTCACCAACAATTTTTTAACAATCTCCTTTAAAAATAATATTAGTAATAATAATTTAAAGTTCATTGCATCAAAATCATCCGTATTTTTTTAATTCTAGTTGGAGAAAGAAACTTTTTAAGCAAATTAATAATTAGATATTGAATATGCCTTGCCTCAAGGGTGTCATTTTTCTTTTCCTTTTTTATTAATTAATAAAGATGAAAATTTTATTAATCCAATGAATTTAACATCACATGAAAATTTTCTTTATACATATGCACGTAATTATGAATATCCCTAATAATTAACATTCATTTTCTTTGTGGTTGTTGTATATGAATCCCCACGTTGCTCTCAAGTATCAAATATTCACAACAACTTTTGAATTACTAACATTTGATACGGCATGCTAAGATCTAATCGAACCAACTTTAGGACTATATATAAGACTTCCAGAGAGCCATAGGATTCCTTCAATGTCATTGTAAACTTCCCATTAAAAAAAGAAAAAACTAAAGGCCCACAAATTACAATCTTTCATTAAATACACACATATACATATATATATATATGTATAGATGTGCACACACATATATTGTTTTCCCCAAAGGATGGCAAGCGAAAACAAAAAAAAAAAAAAAACAATGTTGTTAAATAGTGCAACTGTCATGACGTAAAAACAACACAGAACTTCACCAACCCCCTTATAGGATATAAAAATCTTTTCATGACCACAACCTCGACACACTATATATGAACAAGCACAAAGCAAAAATTTTTGTAACAAATAAAATAAACTTTTTAAAACAATTTATATATATATATATATATATATAAAGCCATGTTCACGTGATTCCTGCACCATAGTATATTTCCTCCCCTTCAATAATTATCCCATTTCTAACGGCTAAAGAATTTCAATTTCCATTTTTATATAAAAGGGTCAGATTATTATTGTTCAAAGACCCGAAAATAATTTTTTTTTTTTAAAAACCTGCATATATTATCTTGGCCGTTTCTCGTCTCCTAATCTCTCTTCTCAGTCAGAGAGAGAGAGAGAGAGAGAGAGAGAGAGAGAGAGAGAGAGAGAGAGAGAGAGAGAGAGAGAGGGGGGGGGGGATAAAATAGGGTTTTAGCCGGCCGCTATCGCCATCAAGGAAGAAGCAAAATCACCCGAGAAAGGCCGCGTGGTCATCATGATTACCTGGCCAAAATATGGGCCCACATGTCGGGCTCAAAATAGCCAATTGACGTGTCGTGGGCCCAACATGTCCCGTCCACAGGCAACAAAGCCTCGAACCAAAATATTTCCTATGTCCCGCCAAGCCTCCGTCAGCGTCCGTCCAATGTAGCGTTTGGCCGTGCCATAATGCTGACGTGGTCCGTGACATGCCCAAACCCACCCACTATATATAGCCCCTTCTTCTCACCCATCTTCAAACAAAGCAAAAATATATACTACAACCTCTCATAATAAGCTTGTTCTTAATTTCTCTTGATCTTATAAGTCATTTCTGATTCTTTGATCATGGCCATTGATTCGGTGACTTCTTCTCCCTTGGGCCCACCGGCGTGTGAGAAGGACGCCAAGGCGCTTCAGTTCATAGAGGAGATGACCCGGAACACCGATGCGGTTCAGGAGCGAGTTCTGGGCGAGATACTGAGTCGAAACTCGGAGACTGAGTACCTCCAGCGGTTCGGACTCGAAGGCGCCACCGACAGCGACTCGTTCAAGTCGAAGGTTCCGGTCGTGACGTACGAGGATCTCCTGCCGGAGATCCAGCGCATCGCCAATGGCGACCGCTCTAAGATCTTGTGCTCCCAACCCATCTCTGAGTTTCTCACCAGGTAACCAAAAAAAAAAATTTTTGTTTTTTTTAAAGTGTCGTTTGGAGATATCTTTCGTCGTTTTTCCTTTTCTGAGAGTGGGAAATGTTTGAAATAATGCAGTTCTGGGACTTCTGCTGGAGAGAGGAAACTGATGCCGACAATTCATGAGGAGTTAGACCGTCGAACGCTTTTGTACAGCCTTCTCATGCCTGTTATGAACCTGTAAATGTCTCCTCTCCCTCTTGGTTAAATAAACATTTCTAGTTTAAATTTGCTTTTCATTAAAGCCACATATATATATATATATTTATATATATTGCAAACTATCAATAATATTGCTGTTGCACTAGCATTGGCTCTAAATGGTTGTACATATATTCACATGATCAATTTTGCACGTACTAGACCATTATCCTTATTTGAAAAGTTGTAGCAAACGTATACCGTTTCTCTTCGAAATAATTGTACGGCTCACCTAACAATATCAATACATACTTACACATTTTTCTTTCGAATTAAAACCCAGTTGACTTGATTGGTATAAGTATTCAAAACATAATTCATTACCCCAGGGAAAAAAAATCTTTAGATTTACTAAAGAAATTTCTTGTTTGAACTCTCAACCAAACATAAAATTCCTTGCCTCATTTTATTTCATAAATTTTTGCTATTAAAAAAACATTTTGTTTTGGTTTACAAAATAAACTCTTCGATCGTTTGAAGTTCAAGCAAATAAAAAATTTATTATCTAATTTTCTTTCATATATTTTTGCTATGTACAGCTATGTGCCAGGGTTAGACAAAGGAAAGGGTCTCTACTTCCTGTTTGTGAAGGCTGAATCAAAGACACCAGGAGGTCTATTGGCCCGTCCGGTGTTGACGAGCTACTACAAGAGTGAGCACTTCAAGAAGAGGCCGTACGACCCTTACAACGTCTACACAAGCCCAGACGAGGCCATTCTCTCCTCCGACTCCTTCCAGAGCATGTACACCCAAATGCTCTGCGGCCTCATCATGCGCCACGAGGTCCTCCGCGTCGGCGCAATCTTCGCCTCCGGCCTCCTCCGCGCCATCCGCTTTCTCCAGCTCAACTGGCGCCTCCTCGCCGACGACATCGCCACCGGAACCCTAAACCCTAGGATCACCGACCCCTCTATCAAGCAATGCATGGCGGGGATTCTCAAACCCGACCCCGCCCTCGCCGCCTTCATGACCGCCGAGTGCGCAGGTGAGAACTGGGAGGGGATAATAACAAGAATTTGGCCTAACACCAAGTATCTCGAAGTGATTGTCACCGGTGCAATGGCTCAGTATATTCCCACGTTGGATTACTACAGTAATGGCCTTCCTAAGGCTTGCACTATGTACGCTTCTTCCGAGTGTTATTTCGGACTTAACTTGAAACCAATGTGTGATCCTTCGGAAGTTTCCTACACCATTATGCCGAACATGGCCTTCTTTGAGTTCATGCCACATGACGACCATTCATCTCCTCCTCTGAGCCGCGACAACCCGCCGAGTCTCGTCGATATGGCCGACGTCGAGGTCGGAAAGGAATACGAGCTCGTCATCACCACCTACGCGGGGCTCTGCCGCTACCGGGTCGGCGACATCCTCCAAGTCACCGGATTCCACAACTCCGCGCCTCAATTCCGCTTTGTCCGGAGGAAGAACGTCCTTCTCAGCATCGATTCGGACAAGACCGATGAAGCCGAACTCCAAACGGCAATCCAAAACGCGTCGGTTCTTCTCAAGGAGTTCAACACTAGTGTCGTTGAGTACACCAGCTTCGCCGACACCAAAACCATCCCGGGACACTACGTGATCTACTGGGAACTCCTCGCGAAGGACTCGGCGAACTCGCCGAGTCACGAGGTGCTGAACCAGTGCTGCTTAGCCATGGAGGAGTCCTTAAACTCGGTGTACCGACAGGGCCGAGTAGCCGACAACTCGATCGGAGCGCTCGAGATAAAGGTTGTGAAAAGCGGTACGTTTGAGGAGCTCATGGACTACGCCATCTCCAGAGGCGCGTCGATTAACCAGTACAAGGTTCCGAGGTGCGTGAACTACACTCCCATCGTCGAGCTTCTCGATTCTCGGGCAGTCTCGGTGCACTTTAGCCCTGCTCTCCCGCAATGGACGCCGGAACGACGTCGTTAAAGATGAAGATGATGATGATGACGTGCATGCAACATCAATAAGAAGCAAAAAAAGGAAAAAAACAAAAAAACAAAAAAAGATGATTAATATATATATATATATAAATTCTAGTCTAGCTTTTAAAAGTGTCTTTATTTTACTTTGGAGGGTTTCTTTTTTGAAAATTTGAAGCGTCTCTGTGTCCGTGTAATAATTTCAAGTAATATCCGCTGTGGAGCATATGATAATGTAATTGTCACTAGTATCTTGTAGTTTATGTGTCTTGTGTTTGTGTGTTGTGTCGATGGAATCGTCGTCTTTTGCCCTTTCAGCTTTTCTAAAAAGTTGAGGAAAAGAGGTTCCAAAAAGTGATATATATATATATATATAGCCATCAACTACTGTTTGATTCGGGATCTGGATCGGGTCTTTATATATATTTTAAGTGGCAAAACTTGTAAATTCTATGATGCTTTCCAAGAGTGTAATAATATTGTTTGTTTAAAGATATATATCTGTGGAATTTATGTGCATGGATTTTAGTGCACGTGCTATATATTCCTATATGGCATTGGCTAGGTTTTGAATTTGAGGGGATTTTATGCTCTGCGTGTTAATTAGTTAATTATATAAGACATCTAGTAATATATATAATCAGCTATATAGGTCTCTTTTCAGGGTCTATACTTTTGGCTTGGAAGCATGCTACCAGTAGTTTTTTCATGGTTGGATAATTACATGTATGTTACATATACATGTATACATATACGCATGCATGCATATAATATATATATATATATATATGCATATGCATAATAATTGCATGCATTATAGATGTATATGGTAGGGGTCTGTAGTATGGTAACTAGCTGGGAGGATCGACTTATTATTTGGTGACGTTATGACTGCTAGCTAGCTGCCTCTTATTGTGAATTTTATATTTTGATTTACTATATACACGGAATTTTTTATAACTTGAAGTCTATGCACGCGTCAGTGCCTGATATGTAAACAACAAGCAAGTTCCATGCATGCAGCAATATTTTTGGCTAATTTCAAGTTTGACTCTTAAAAGATAGATGTTGTTTCACTTTAACCCCTGACACTCTCAAAATAAGGGGGAAAAAAAAACCATCCTCTTCCCACCATATCATGCATATCATAGTGACAACTTTTGTACTTCTATCTTTAAGGCGTCAACTTTTTTTTTAACGCTTTAATTAGATGTGAGTCATGTAACTAGTTGTAACATGTAAATTTTTAACGGTTTTAGTCATGTGTACAGGACACCCGACCAGCACACGTGATAATAAATCTTAAAAATTAAGGCCTCAATGATTTAAATACTAAATAGGATTTATTTGGCAAATATACATCTCTTAATCTTAACTCAACATGTCTCAAATTAATTTGAATAGGGTTCGTTCCTTTTTTTCTTTCCTTTTATTCGTTAATGGTCATGAGGGGTGGTGGAATATTTTCCTTTTCACATGCATATATACGTTGTACGTTATCATAGCGCAGAAAAAGTAGCCTCGCAAGCAAACAGTGATCTTTTTTAACATGCATAGTCATTTTAAGAGATCTACTAATAGCACTTGATTTGTTTGTCTTGAACCTAGATATTATATTCATCATGGCAGTTGAAAAATTCCGCACAAATATTTAATTAATATATATTCACCTTTTCTGATACCATAAGTAATAATAGTTATATATTGAAATTAATTAGTTTAATTTACACATTATTATAGATATGGATCTATGAATATCAGTACTTTATGGAATGTACAGAAGAATCCCATACAAAGACTAGACGAGAGGCAAGAAAAGCATCATTCTTCTGCATTGAGTTTTGTATACTTTTGTTTTCTGCGGTTGCAGAATCTTTTTCTTGGACTTTCTGGGCGATATTTGCTATTTTGGTTAATTTCAAGTTGAACAATTTATGGGGGCTATATATGCGTTTTATATTGCATAAGCCTTCAATGGAATATTCTCTCTGATCAGTTTTCGTTGCTGGCATCGAATTTGAGGACCTTTTGTATTTATGATCAGACAATATTTGCCAACACGAATAAATTAAAACAAAGGGAAACAATGTGCTGTTTTTTTTTTTTTTTTTTTTTTTTTTTTTAATAGGAAAACAATGTGGTTTTGGTGAGCTCTTTGTAAAATTATTTTTTGGGAAAAATGTGCTGTTGAGCTCTTTGTAAAATTATTTTTTGGGAAAAGTTATTAATTAGAAAATAAAAATGGAAAATAATATAGGTAAGCTTAATCGGAGACATAATATAAACTACAAAAGTTTGAAGGGTAATTCTAGTTTTGGTTACCCGAATTTAAGGGTAAATACAACTTTAGTCCTTGACATTCAAACATCCAAATAGAAGCCCCACACACACACACATATATGTATGTATGTATGTGTGTGTGTGTGTATGTATTTATGTATGTATGTATGTATGTATGTATGTATGTGTATGCATCTATGTATAAAAGAACTACTCTCCAAATAATTATTAAGTAGTGCCTTAAGACTTTCATTGATTCTAAATTATACCTAACCGGCCCGTTATTTTCTATGCATTATGATCTCGATTTGTTCTCTTCATTTTCTTTAGTGTGGCATACCCTCTCTTTTTTCACACTACATTGCTTACGTTTCACTAATTATTTGGCGCGCACATATTTCTGCTCTAACTTCCCAAGCCCTAATAAGAAATAATTTTTTCCACTAATTATTAATTAAGTTCTCTAAGTGATGGCTGCTGTGATCGATCGTACAGATAATATATATTTTAACTAAGTTCTTTAATTAAGTTCTCTAAGTGCGTGTGGTGTGATCACAATAAATTATTTAATTTGTCACGTATAATGTACAGTGAAACTCCGAAATTCTATGATCAAGTAATACAATTCACTACAGCCAAAATGAAAACAGAAGAAAACTCAAGTTATCTGAGAAGAGTAATACAAATTCAACGGCTATGAAGCTTTGAAATAATCAACATTTTCGTCCTTATCGACAAAATTAATATTATGCACTTAGGAGGCCTTCAAAAGAAAACCAAAAATATTATAGACGTTGATGGTCCTAACTCTTAAGGGCATGGAACCTTTTCTCTTTTTTTTCTTTTTTTCTCCCCTCTTCTCTGATATTTTTCTTGTTCATAAAAGGAATTTTTTGTGGGGATTGTTTTGAGAAAATACTTACAAAATTGCCTTAATATAACTGCTATCTATTTAACTGTTCTTACCGAGGTCCATGTGCAGGGATTATAGTGCATGTGATGACATTCTGTGTTGTATTGGTTTTTTACTTATGTCATTCTAATCGATATGATCTGATTTAATTAGTAGGATTTCTTTTCTTAGATATCTTACATATAATATATATATATATATGTATGTATACCAAAAAATTGATGTCTTATATATGAACACACATGTTTTTTCTTTAATTTCATATATAAATAGATATTTTACACAGTTTCAAGTCCCCTTTTACAGAAAATATTTTGACATTTAATAATAGGCATGTCTGTCTCATAAGCAGTTCCAAGAGGTACTGGCACTTCTAGGTCTTTTGTTTGGCACTTGGATGGCAGCATATATATATATATTATATATATATATATACACACACACACATATTTTACAGAAAATATTTTGACATTAAAAAATAAATAATAGGTATGTCTGTCTCATAAGTAGTCCCAAGAGGTACTGGCACTTCTAGGTCTTTTGTTTGGCAATTGGATGGCAGCATATATACACACACACACACACACACACACACACACACACACATAGTGAGGTTTTTAGTAGGTGGATAATGGTGTGGGTACTACTACTGTGCCATTTCTGATCAGACATTATGTCAGCCTTATTATAGAGAAGTAAAGATTCTGTGATTGTTATTATATGGCATGAATATATGGATCAGTGATTTTGTCAGTAAACAAATTACCAAAAGGAATTCATTTATTTTGAATTTTGGTAAGTTACACAGCAAGAAAGAAATATAATGGAAAAGGTCTATGATATGTCTTTTTTAAGGCTCTGGCTTCAAGATCCTTTTCTTTTCTTTTTCTTTTTTTTTTGCACATTTGCCCACCGGCAAGGCAAAAATGTCGGACAGTCCCTTGTGGGATTTTTTTTTTTTTTTTTTAAAGGCAACATATATCCAACACTATTTCTCTTTTAACAAAAAAGAGGTGACAATAATGCATAATAAGTTTAGTTCATGTTTCATACAGCGGAATAAAAGGCACTAAAAAGTGATGAAAATTAGCATTCTAATCTGGCCTTTTTCACTTAATTGACTATTAAAGCAACATAAACCATTAGCTAAGGCAATTAAACAAGATCCAGGAGCGCTGTTAAAGTGAAGCTTTTTCATGTCTCTAAATATTGTCTCTTAAAATGTTTGAATTCTTTACCAAAGCAAATGTTTGTTTTGTCACACTGTCTGCTGGGGTTAAATCCTAATTAAGTACAAGAGAACCTTTGAAGTAAAATGTAATTCAGTTCAAAGATAAAGAACCATTTCCCAACCTTCAGGTTTGGACACGAATTGGTAAATCAAAAGTATATGATTAATCGAAAACCAAAGTACACTAGACTATATTATATATATTTATCGTTATTCGATATTCATGTTCATTTGTTTATTATATAGTTGTTATTTGATTACTGATTAGGCGTCCTAAAAATGAAAAATATATTTTTATTAGGCGGCTAATCAGTAATAACAAGGAAGCTTTGGTTGCATTCAATAATCATTGTCATGTCCCCTCCATCTTGGACATTCTTTATGTATCAAACAGAAAAGAATATCGACAAATAATCGCCATTAATTGAACCACAATCTGCTATATATATATATAT